TATATATATATATAAAGGACATTTATGTAGTTTCAGAGTGAAATTTACCTATTGTGAGAGTAGGATATTCAAATGAAAAAAAATATAAAATAGAGTAAAAAGAATGAAATATTTACAAAATAAAATATTATTTTAATTCATATATACAGAATAATTTTTATTGTAAATTTTATACCAAGGACATTTTTATGAACTTTTATTAAAAGTAATCAAACCAAAAATGTTTTCTAAATTTTAAAATTAAAAAATAAAAATTATTTTCTGAAAATAAAAATAGAAAATATTTTCTAAAATCAAACACACCCTAATATATTGTAATTAAGCAAAGTGTAGTGACATGAGTGAAGAATTCGAACCGGATCCCTAAACAAATATCACTATGAAAACAAATTATAATTAAGCATTAAAATTGTCACTAAATCATTAGTATAAAGTTTAAACATTGTAAGTTTACATATAAAAAAAAAATATAATACAGTTTATATATTACTGATATAATTATCGACTTTTTTATACATTGAAATGACTATTTTTATATATAATGCGTGTATTGTTATTAGTGTTTAAATATATAATGACTACTTTAACAGTTTAGTTTTTTATTTGACAAATAATATATGAATTCATTTTGTCTTTAATTTGATTTCAGGGATGTGATGCCTCAGTGCTATTAAATGATACATCAAGTTTCACTGGTGAACAGACAGCACGTCCCAACATTAATTCCCTAAGGGGTTTTGATGTAATAGACAGTATAAAGTCTCAAGTGGAGAGCCTATGTCCTGGTGTTGTTTCTTGTGCTGATATTCTTGCCGTAGCCGCAAGAGACTCTGTTGTTGCTGTAAGTATATCAAAACGCTAGTTATATAGGATATGTTATAAACACTTTTAGGAGAAAAAAAGAAAAAGAAAATATGAAACGAATTTTCTTATAAACTAAAATTAGTTTCTAGAAATTCCCATATATATAAGGCACTAATGTTGAAATATATTTCTTAGCTTGGTGGATCTAGTTGGACAGTGCAACTGGGTAGAAGAGACTCAACCACAGCAAGTTTTAGTTCAGCATCAGACTTGCCCACTCCCCTTTCCAATCTAACTCAACTTATCGATACTTTCTCTAAGAAAAATTTCACTACAGAGGAAATGGTTGCTTTGTCAGGTAATTAAATTATTAGTTAAATGCATTTTAAGGATTAAAAATATTTATAGTATTAAAAAAAGTTCAATTCTTACATCAATTAAAGATTAGAATTAACTAAGACTAAATATATAAGTAGAAGATAACTCGTACCTTACAATCTGATTTTGTATATAAAAATTTATATTTTACGATAATATTAAAACTATATCTAGATCACTAAAAAGAATCATCCATCATTTATATATATACTAAATTTAATAGTATTGTTTTATATTAAAAAATATTCAAGTCTTATGTTAACCAGAGATGAGATTAGAACTGTCAAAACGGACTATTTGACCCACTTTAAAAACAGGCCAACCCAACTCGGCCTATTTTTGATTTGAAAAAAAAAAATTAGCCCGGCCCGACCCACCACGGGTTGGTGGATTATACGGGCCAGCCCACCAAAAATTAAAAAAAAATTATCAACAAATTCAAAATTTTAAATTAATTATAAATTAACATAATAGTCATAAAATTAACATCATTAATAGTCATAAGTCATAACTCATCATACCAAATTAAATACAAATCATGATAAAAGTCCAAAATAAAAATTTTCAATATCCCATCATACAAAATTAATTACAAATCATACTTAAATTTCCATTACAAAAAAAAAATTTGTGAGCTGATGGGCTGCCCGGCCCACCACGGATTCAGCCCGGGTGGGCCGGGTGAAAGTGGGCCTGGTTGAGATATACCCACCTACTATAAAACTTTTTTTTTTCTAACCCGACCCGTTTTAAAGGTGGGTCAAGTTGGTCCACGAGCCACAACCCATTTTAACGATTCTAAATGAAACCAACAAATAGTATATAAATTATCTAACAAACCAATTTTATAGAATTAAGTTAGGTGTAATTCCAAATGTTCTAAAATAAAACCTATGAAATCTTAACATTCAAATATTATCTCTATTGAGTTTAATTTATTTTTATTTTTTTAAAATAGTAATTAATAACTATAAATATAGATGGCAATAGACAATGATCAAATGAGATATTATATGTTATAATTTCTATATGTAATAAATATTTCAGGGTCTCACACAATTGGCCAAGCTAATTGTGTAAGGTTCAGAACAAGGATTTACACCAACACCAACATAGATTCATCTTTTGCAACATCATTGCGAGCAAATTGTCCTAGCATAGGTGGTGACAACAGTTTGTCTCCTCTTGACACCACCAGCCCAACCACCTTTGACAATGCTTACTTCAAGAATTTGCAGAGCCGAAAGGGTCTCTTGCACTCAGATCAAGAGCTTTTCAATGGAGGATCCACTGATTCTCAAGTAAATGCTTACAGCACCGATCCTTCACGTTTCAAAACTGACTTTGCCAATGCAATAGTTAAAATGGGAAACCTAAGCCCACTTACGGGGTCTAGTGGCCAGATTAGGACCAACTGTTGGAAGACCAATTAAGATCGATCTTGGGCCTTATTGTACTAAGTTCACTACTACCTTTTTTTAATTAATTTTCTAAAAGAAGTGAAGGCACAAGCCAATGTTTCCTCAATTGTATTAAGAATATAATAATATGGAGCAATAATGCTCTCACGGTTAATTTTGAAGTTTTCATCAATTTTTTTAATGAGTAATCTTTGTTGAAGAATATAGTTGAGTTTTCTTTCTTAATTATATATTTTTTTATTCACAAAATTTAAATATGAATTCTTACTTAAAAGAATTCTTTTTAATTTTATTTGAGCTAATAACGTGTTACACTAACTTTTTTTTTTCTTTTTCTCTTGAATATCTTAGCTTATTGGACTAAAGAAATTTTATTTGACTTTACTATAATGTATATATATACCATAAGAAAAAGACTAACCATTTGATATTAAAAGTGGAATCATGGGCGATAAATTGGGCATAAAATCTGGGTGCGTGTTCCGGCTTAAAGATTTTTAATGTTTAGTCCTGCTTGCAGAATAAAAATTCACCTTATAATATTTTGTTATAGGATACAATGACAACGAAAAATCAATGAATCAATTAGTCAAAAATGACAACCGACATATGTATCTTTCATATTTATTTACCCTTAGAGTACAATCATGGTCACCTATAATTTTTTTTTTATGTTTATTTAAATTGTTATAAAAAAATTATTTTGTGACTCCTAAAATATATAAAATAATTATTTTATTCATCTAATCTATTTTTATTTTCATATATTATTTGAGTACTCGATATACTTACGTATTTATTTATTCATACATTATGCATAATACAATACAAGCTCTATATATATAACAACCAACTATTAAAAGAGTTGCTATTAACAATATAAATGACCGAAAGCAATGACCAACTATATATAACTAACATCAACAAAAATGACTAACTACCAACAAAACCAGTAGTTGGCTTCAATAAGCTGCGACACTCTCTCAACGTGATGTCCAACATTCCAAGCTTGGAATGCATGTCCATAAAAGGAATAAAAGATAAAAGTTTAGTGAGAAAAATTAGCTATTTTAGACTAAGATAGTAAGATAATATAGGTAACAAAATGTAACAAGCCATTTTAAATCCTATCTTTTACAAAGTGTCTATCCATATCTTTGTGGTTAGTCATAGCATGAAAATTAACAATGTTGATTGTTTCATGATTGACACAATAGAGGATTACAAGTATTTATGAGATTGTTGCAACTTGCAAATCACTGAATAAAGCAACTATTAAATTTCACAAGATGAATAAGTTATTGTCTGATATTCTGCCTTTGAAGATAATCAAAAGTTTAAAAGATTGTTGGTTTCTTTTTACCACCATAAAATAAGGATTTAACCAATATAAAATAGTAGCTTGTGATTGATCTCCTTGTATCTAAATAAGCTCCCCAATTTGAATCATAGAATCCTTTCACCTTCACCTTACCATTAGATTCAACTAGAATTAAAAAAAAATCCTTAAACAAGAGGGTTGTTAATGTACCGAAAAACTCTAAATGCATATAAGTATGATGTGAAAAGGTAGGGAAAACACATTGTCTTTATTGACTCATAGTAACGCATATATTTGTCTTAAAATTTCTATACTTAGTTGTATCAAGTAATGAGGAACCTGATTGTTTGTGCATTTGTAGGTGAAAAAATTCTGACCAAAATAATCTAGAAATAAACCTACCCTTTGTTATTTATATTTATATTCTAAAAATGATATAAAAAAAAAACATCATAAACAATTATACATTATTATAAAACAAGACTATTTTGAGGATTCTTTAAACCCGAAAAATAGTTTAATATTAAGAAAATGTTACAAATTTGTATATATAGTATTACTTGATGCTTGTGTATGTACAGTTGTAGCATAAATATTCTTTTAAGTAATAATATATGTTGAACTAAATATGTTAAGCCGACCTTAGCTCAGTTGGTAGAGCGGAGGACTGTAGTTGGTAACAAACCTAATAGAAATCCTTAGGTCGCTGGTTCGAATCCGGCAGGTCGGAATTCCTTTTAACTTATTTTATTCATTTATTCTGAATACTCCACGTATATTTGCACCTCGATTAATTATTTGTATTCTATAAAATAAATATTATTGTTTTTTTTATATTATTTTTCTTCATATTTATATTATTATAAAGAATTCTAGTGATTATAACTAAGCTAAAATATCTATCTATATGTATAAATAGATATAAATAAATATAAATATATTATATAATTAGTTATATGTTGAGTTAAATAAATTTATTTATTTCATTTCACTTTCTATTTTTAAAAGAAACAAACATATGTATTATAATACACCTTTTTATTATTATTATTTTTTTTAATACTTTGATCTTGTATGTTTTATTTTATCTTTAATTTTTTTTTTAGTTTTATGTATTAACGAATTTGTAAACTACAAGCCTATTGTTCAAGTTAATGAAACCTAGATATATAGAAAAAAAACACAGGGATTTTATTGTTAGTTGTGGCTTAAGACGAGAACAATCACATAATACTGATAACCTTTGTCATCATTGAGGGTAGGACAACAAATCTTTAGTTCTTTTTAAAAAATAAAATAAAATTAAGAAGGTATGTCAATGTCACACCCCAAAGTGGACTCTATCTGATTGCAGACCAAAATGAATCTATTAAAAGTGCTTACAATCAAGAGGAAACTGGGTGGGCGAGATCAAACATTGCATGTGTTTTGTATTTAGCATATTTCATAAAATTTTATAAGAAAATATAAGAATGTTGATGTACGAAAATATGTTTTCAACATGGATAACTAACTAATTCATCTAAAATTAGATTTTTTTATGTGATTTTTTCTAATATTGACAAATATTACATTATATGTTGCATAACTTCTTAGGATATGCATTGACGGAAATCATATCCCACCATTATTATAATGATCTTTGACATGCGAATCTAGACACTGCAAATTGGATTGGTCACATACCTAAGGAACAATGGTTTTAAGCATTCAACGGAGATCAACAATGGAAACACATGACAACCAACCTTGTAGAGTCCATCAATTCAGTACTTTAGAGCACTCAAAATTTGCCAATAACATAATTGGTCTTAGAAATGTACTTCAAGTTAGCTAAATTATTCCCTAGGAAGGGGAAGAAAGCAAATGTTGTATGATAATTGTGTGATTTACTTAACGTCAGTTGTGTAAATTGCAATGATTGTTTTCCTTTTTCTTTATTTTGAGTGTTATCAACCCCTTTTTGTAAATACCTTGGAGATGAAGAAAGTTGCAAGCTGAACATACAATAACCAATCAGGAAAGTGGGAGTTGAAATCAAACTCTAGCTCAACGAGCCAACCTGGTCGCTAAGCTAGAGTTGCAAATTGAAAGAGTCATAGAGGAGTCTGCTTGCTTAGCGAGCCAGTAAGGTCGTTGAGTAATAATTCAATAGCTTGTATAAATCAAGTGGTTCGCTCAACAAGCCTTCTTTTAGCTAAGCGAGACAACTTTGGAGCAACAGAGACATTTGGTAGCTTAGCGAGCCAACTTGGTGGCTGAGCAAAAGATAGTAAACACTGTACCTGGATGACAAAAAGAATGTCTTTAATAGGACTAACCTAGGGATTTGAAGGTATAATTGCAAACATTGTTGACAAGACTCCTAGAGGTTGGGGACACCCTAGGAAACTGCATTTCCTCATTTTTCAATCCTTCACCAATTTTTTGTGGTTCTAATGGTAACTTGTAGCTAAACTCCCACTCGTTGGGATTGAATATGACTTGCTGAACATCATGTATTGACTTTACTTCATTAATGTATGTTTCATTATATTCATTAGTGTTCTTACTCTTTTCTTAATGTTTTTTTGATTTATTGTATCTTGAATGATTCATGGCTTAAGTTGTTATTGAAAAATGCTTCTTCAAGTATGTAAGAGTTGAAACACACATTAAGAGTCATATTTAGGGATGGATATATAAAGCTCAATGGACATTTTTGAACTACCCATTTTTAATGCTTGTATTTTAGTCAAGTTGGTCAATGGATTGGAGATTTGAGTGAAATACATGATTTCGAGCTCCTAATTAAGGAATTAGGGTTTGGAGATTTTCTGTGTTTTTATTGATGTTAAGACGAAACATACAAAAATCTTCTTTAAACTAGTACATGATGGTAGTTTAGTGAAATTCAATCCCAATGGATCTCTTCATTTGATTTTACTTAAGTATTATCTCATATGTTTGACAAAAATCCCAAAAGAAAAGACATTTTTATTATTTACGTTGTTGTCTTAGAGTCCATTCATTCAACAAAACTTCAAATAAATCCCTATTTCATTCTTTTGAGTTATAATATAGTGTATTGGGTTACATTGTCATATATTGCACAAGTTCCCTTGGGCTACAATTTTATTTTGAAAATACTACATAGGATTTGGTACGTTTGCCAATCGTTTGACACCATCTTATTAGCCTATCACAAATATGGAGAAATTGTCAAAAAAGCCATGGATGACGATGGGGTGAAAAATCAACCTCTCACAAAGTGGAAATGCTTGACCAACAAAATTAATCATTTATTGTGTTTAAAACAATAAATCCAAGTAAGAGTGGATGACCACCAAAAAGATTGAGAGTATTTTTTCAAACACAAAAATGTGATTGTGGTACATTTCAATAGCAATACACATGCCTTGTTTAAAAATAATTTTAACGTGTATAATGCTTAGCTTGGATTACTGCCTAACAAAAATGAGTGATTGAAATATAACAGGGATGAATGGTATCATGATCAAAAAATGCAAAGAAATCTAGCTTGAATGTCTTAAAATATCTACTTAGATATACATTAAGATGGATCTCACATAAAGGATGAAACCAAAAGACATAGTTATTGTCAAACTATTGAACATTCAAGAAAAAAAAATGTCCACAATTATAATAATTATGATTTATGTTTTTTAAAATATATTTTATGTTTGAATAATAAAAAATTAAAAAACTCATGTATTTATTTATTTTTTGTAATTTATATTATTTAAACTTAATTTATACTTTAAATATTTTTTTAATAATATTATAATTTATTCATATATATATATATATATATACATATTTTTATAAATTAAAATTTAAAGTAAAAATGAAGGAAAAACATATTGAGAAATCAGGCCTCCCATATCCAACTTTTCATCGTGTTAAAAATTGTGGCATATGGCTAAATAAAAAGGAATGTGTGACATTTGAATGTTTAAAAAGATTTTGTGAGATAGTATTACAAAAAAAATCGAAATTGTGAGATAGTAATACAAAAAAAATCGAAATCTATTGGAGTAGTGGTAAGTAAGTTGTCCCTCAATTGTAGGTATGTGGGATCATCTCTATTGCCTCAACCACTTTGCTATTTATTTTTCTTGAATTTTCAAGTGCAAATTCTGTAGTGGATTATATTCTATAAGGTTTAGGGTTTAGCCAATTTTAAAATTGTGATGTTATGTTGTTATTTTAACCTTATAACAGGTAATATGTATCTATGGGATGCACATGAAATTTACGAGTGAATGCATTATAGGAAATATTATATATAACTGTCACTTTAAATTTAATATATACAAATATAAATATATTTAATATATAATTACATATAATTTTAATAGTACTTTAAATAAAATTTAATAACATATTATATGTGATTATAATCTATATTTACACTTTTTTAATAATATACTAACATATATTATATTTAAATATATAAAATTAATTCTTATTAACATATATTATGTTACTATAAAGTATGTGTTATATTATATGACAATTTTTTTTATAGTAGTAAAATTTATATATTTTTTAATTATTTTAATTTAAATATTAAAAAGAATAATAAGAGATAAATATTATTTAACGTTTCAATTAAGTTTCATAATTTTGCGGTGATTTTGAAGGGTACAATATAATGAATGATTAATGATTCAACTTATAAGTTTTTAGATAACTATAAAGCATAATGTGACACTATCTGACAAAATAAATTAATAATAGGTGATAAATGATCCCCACATTGAATAACAAATATAAAAAAATTACTTATTAACTAAATAATTAAATAGAAATTGTATGATTTTTCATCTTGTTTTAATACAAAATTAATAAATATATTAGGAGAGATTTACTCACTTTTAAATACTTACTTCATTCAATAACTCATATTTTATATTTAATTTTAAGATTCAACTATTAAATTAAAAAATTTAATATATAAATTAACTTTACAATCTTTTTAAAACATTTAATACTCTATTAATTTCATCAATTCAAATTAATAGATAATCATAAAAAATAGTATTAAATATTTTTAATTTCTTTAAAATTTATAAATTTTATCTATATATTAAGAACTTTTAATTTAATAATTAGATTATTAAAATTTTATATAGAGTATGAATTATTAAATGGAGTAATTCTACTTAAATTTTCATTTTGATGAGTATCTAGGGACGATAGCAGTGACTAATCTCCACGCTATGTTGGAGGCACT